ATGTTTATCCATGGTATGACTAAAAATTACCTCTTGGAGTGCATAAAATATGCCTCCCTACTAAGGAGTGAGGTGAGGATGAACAGTTCGTGAGCCGTTGGGGCTGCAGTCCAAAGTCATACTCTTTGCTCCCTGGTATCAGTCATCTCAAGCTTACATTTTGACCATCTACCTGAAAGGGAAGAGTGAAGGTTTATTTGTCGACCCTCCTGGAGTCTTAATAACAGTTGTATTCATTTGCTCTAAATTTAGGCTTAATGATGCTCTAAACTTAAAAAAAAAAAAAAGTCAGTGTTGTTGGTTGGAAGAATATGTAGTTAATATAACGTAGTAATTCACACACACACACCCCATTTAGATAGATTTATCTCCCTCTCCAGTCGCAGGAACCACAGAATGAGTGCAGGCCGGACTCACCAACCCAGCGGGTTCAACAGGCACATCCCTCACCACATTGCATCTTTTCTGTAAGCAGATCGGAAGGAGAAAAATACCCAGAACCCGTGGAGCCAAGTATGCCCGCGTCCTTGTCCCACGTATGCCCAGTGGGGAGCAGTGCAAGAGGAGAAGGGGAAGAGAAGCTGGAAGCATGGATCCCTCAGTTTCCCTCTCAGGAACTGGAGTGGAGAGTCCCTTCCTTTAGGGCAAGAGGAGGAGTGGGCAATGATGATCCCAGTGAACACTTATGTCCAACATGAGCAGTGCTCTGAGAAATCTGTTTATCTGCCCTAGAAATCAAGTGTGTTGACATTTTCATTTGCCTCACATCCTTCCACTTCGAGGTTATGAAATCTTTGGTGTCTGGATCACGCCCAGATGTTGATGAGTTAATCCCTTATCGACAAAGCAGCCACCACCTGGCCCTTCGCTGCTTCTGAGGGTGTGAGAAAACAATGACCACTTTCCCCAGGGACATTATTTTTGGAAAGCTCTGCCTCCCACTGTGGATCTAAGGACACCTTGGGTGTCTTTATACAGTTGAGGGGAAAGGAAAGACACTCTTCTCCAAAGGGCAGGGGTTCAAGCAGAGCCCACCAGAAACCCACTGGCATCAACAATGGCGTTGCTGTCACGCATTCACATTATGAGGCAGCAAAAAGCTTAGAGGTGGGGAAGGAAAACTCACACTTCAGGAGAAATGTACAAGCACTCCATCTCACACACATGCACGCTAACGCACATGCACATGTACACGCACGGTCTCTAACACTAGCTTTCAGGAGACATTCTAGACTGTGTGGAGGAGAGAGCCTGAAGATAGGTCATCACTGTTACATGGCCCTTCTTAAATTTCTCCGATAAAGAACAGCATAATGTGGATTCAACCATCAACCAGTAATGCAGTCAGCGTTCGTGAGTAGTTGTAGAACCGGATTATTTTATATGTCACTTAGAGCTATGATGTCTAGCTCAATGACAAAATATTTTGAGGGACCTGCACAGACTAATTAAGATCATGCAATTTATTGGCTCATTGGAGTCTGAACCAAACTTAACAAAAATATCTTAATAAAATATGCTTTTTGTACGACTTCTGTGTAATGAGGAGCATCTTTATGCTTCACTGGCTGATTCCAAATTCTAGTAACTTGTTTACTAAGGGAGATTCCATAATAATGCAACTTAATGATACATACAGTACAGATCAAGTGATTCAACTTTACAAGGTTTTTGGTTTCGTTTTGTTTTTGTTTTTAGTATGCTGTGTCCTCTGCCTAGAATATTATACATAATAAGGACTGTCAAAAGTCAGAAACAAACCCTTGAGATTACCTGGTGAAAACCTTGTATTTTTAGATAAAGAAATGGATTTACTAACAAAATCAGGACGAGAACACAGTTTCCTTGTTCTTTTAAGATTTTATTTAGTTATTTATTTGAGACAGAGAGAGAGTGCGAGAGAGCATGAGCAGGGTGAGGGGCAGAGGGAGAAGAAGGCTCCCTGCTGAACAGGGAGCCCAATGCTGGACTCGATTCAAGGATCCCAGGATCCCAGGATCCCAACCTGAGCTGAAGGCAGACACTTAACCAACTGAGCCACCCAGGAGCCCCAAGAACACAGTTTTCAACTCTGAATCCTTTGTTCTTTCACCCATCTTTAAGGCCTAGGAAAAGCTGCACCTCCTTTATGAAGCCTTCCTTGACCCCCAGACTTTTAAGAACCCCTAATCATGGTCTATGCTGTACCATTTAGCATTTGGTTAAAAACTTTTGTCACTCCCCCCAATTATATCTCACTCCTGTATCTTTAAGGAGATTATTGTCTCAAGGACAAAATTGTGTTTTATGATACTCTACACTGAAACACCACAGTGCCTAGCAGAAAGATATGCACCATGATTATCTCCTAAGGGACTTGCCCCTTTTCTAATGAATTCAGTACTTTGCTCCTTGTCACTTTAATGCCATCACCCTCTTTCATAAAGTAAACTTTCATACGTGTGACTTTTCACCCATATCCTGGTGCATGCACAGGTGCGCGTGCACGCACACACACACACACATACATATCCCCAACACCTAGCACTGTGCCTGGCACACACAGTAAGTTCTCAATACTGTTTACAGAGAGAAAGAGAGAGAGAGGAAGTTGGTTTGTGAAGTTACTATAAGCAGGGAAGGTACACGGGTACACACAAAAAGTAGGATTTCAACTGAGCCTTAAAGAAAATACACTGACTGGTGCACCTGGGTGGCTCAGTGGGTTAAAGCCTCTGCCCTCGGCTCGGGTCATGATCCCAGGATCCTGGGATCGAGCCCCACATTGAGCTCTCTGCTCAGCAGGGAGCCTGCTTCCTCCTCTCTCTCTGCCTGCCTCTTTGACTACTTGTGTTCTCTGTCAAATAAGTAAATAAAATCTTAAAATAAAATACACTGATTAACATGCAAGCAGGAGAGAAAATTATATTTAGGGCAAAGAATATCCTGTATTTTAATCCCAAATTGAGCACTTTTTCTTTGTTTAATCGCAGGTATTTACTTAAGCTCCCTGAAGCTCTATTTCCCTACCTGCTGAACTAGGATAATACTATATATTTTGTAGAGTTGTTATAAGAAATAACTGAGTTGAATTATGCAATAGGAATCAATAAATAGTAGTTATTAACAGCAAAAGTTAATATTAACTCCCTGAATGAAGAAGCCAGTAGAAGTGCCCATGAGGGCATAATGGGTAGCTCAATTAGGCTACAGCCACATGCTTTACAGAAGGAAAGGATAGGTGGCAGTGGAGGGAGAGGCCAGATTGAGTCACCGTCTCTCTCTGACTACCTCCAAGCTTAAAGCTATCAAATGCATCATTAAATTCATTGCGGGGTGTGGTGAAGGCCAAGGACTAGGAAGCGGTCCTTTCTCAGTAAAAATCACATTTTTTTTTTTAAATCAGACAAGACAGCCCTAGCAATGGAGTAAGCCAGAGGGAGTTGGCTATAGCAGGTGATGAACGATGGATATATACAAACCCGCTACCATGATGCTAGGCACATAGCGGACACCCAAATTTTCGTTCTGTCCTCTGTGATGTACCAGCATCATATCCCACCACTCTTTCTACCTTTCTTTTCTGTCTTTGCCTCTTCCTAAGCTTTACTCTTTCTTGGTCACTCATTTCTTTCATCTGCTTACCGATACCTTTGTTAGGCATTCGAGTGTTTACTGAGATTCATTTCGTATGAAAGCATTTATAGAGCACTTACTGTAACTCGGGCACCATGCTAATAACACTAGATTCCAACACAGTTGCCTGTACTGCCCTTGGAAGTACTTCAGACTCATTTGCACGAATGAGCATGTCCTCTCAAGGTAACTTAGTTGGCAAAGGGCATCGAGTAAAGTTAAAGAAAAGCCGCATTGTAGGCCAAACATGCTCACATTTTCTGTAGTTCCATAAATGTGTGTGGGCATAGCATAGACAAAACTTGGGCAATCTGGGATAGGTACCACTCGAATGGCAGGAAGCAACAATAAATAATAGTGGGGACACGAAAGTCAAAGTATAAGCCAGGCATATCCTTTTGACCCCTGAATCCTACTTTTGGCAATTTAGCCTGAGGAAATAATTATAGCAATGCACAAAGATTTAGCTAGAAGATGTCTCTTGCAGGCTTGTTTATGTAACACTGCAAGTAAAACAAGCCTTAACATCTAAGGATAGATGAACACAATTATGCTTTATCCATATAAGTAGTTAATAAGTGATATCTCAGAAGAATAATTATTACCATGGAAATAGGACCAGGTACACTATTAACCCACCAAACAAGATTGCAAAGCAAAATATGCCAGGTGAACTTGTGCTTGTTAAGTATATATGAATAGAAAAAAGACAGGAGGGCTAGCAGGATACTAAAAATAATGAACTCTAAAGGTGAAATTATAAAAATTTCCACTTCTTATTTTTTGTGTTTCCTATTTGTTTTCTCATTTTACATACTTCCATGGGCCACTTTTGTAACAACAACAAAAAAAAATGCCACAGTTATAAATGATATAGATAGATAAGTATACATAAATATAAATGATGTATGGATGAATAGATAGAAGGTAGGTTAGACAGATAATAAACAGATGTATGATAAATAAATAAATGGTAGATAACTAGATGGTAGATTAGATACACAGCCGACTGCGTAGTGGTAGACAGATGAAGGATTAGACAAATGAGAGATAGATGGTAGATTAGTTAGATAAAAAGGTGATGAATTAAATAGGTAGAGAGATTAGCTAGATAATGATGGATTAGATAGAGACGGATATAGATGACGGTTTAGAGAGAGAAGACAGACCTTGGACAGGTGTTGGATTAGACAGACAGGTGGTAGATTAGGTAAATAATGATGAGAGCTACATAGAGGACAGATCATCCTGTAGTCCAGGAGGCACGCAGAGCAGGACGTGCAGCGGGACAGTCTCATGAGCCCCGCGTGGCGTCATCAGCCGCAGGTTCACGAGAACAGCCAGTGTCCCTCCCGCTGTGGCTGAGCGCGTCCCTTTCTCGCCAGGTCGACGCGCACGGCAACATTCTGCTCAGCACCCTGGAAATCCGGAACGAGACGAGCGGCTCGGAGGTGCTGACGGGCGTGAGCGAGCCCAAGGCCACCAGCATGTACTCGTACGACAGCGCCAGCATCCAGTACCGCAAGCCGCTGAGCAGCCGCGAGGGCTACGGGCGCGCGCTGGACCGGCACGGCGCGCACAGCAAGGGGCGCATCCGCCGGCGCGCCTCGCAGCTCAAAGTCAAAATCCCCGACTTGACTGATGTGAATTCCATAGACAAGTGGTCCCGAATGTTCTTCCCCATCACCTTTTCTCTTTTTAACGTCGTTTATTGGCTTTACTACGTACACTAAGGTCTGTCCTCATGGTTCGTAAACGACTACTCTCCTCTTGATTCTTAACCCCACAGGCGCCCCCACCTCTGCCCCCACCCCAACCGCCCCCACCCCCGCCCAGCAGCAGGGATCCTGCTGTTTTTTGAGGTAAGAGATTCAGCCATTCAATTGGTTTTAGGCCTTGCATATCAATTTTATTACTGCACCATGTTTACTTCCAAAAACAAAACACCCACCCACGCACCCACATACACACACACCAAAAAAAACTCTATTTTTTTTCCAGTCTACTGTAGTCCAGGTTATCCGCTCTTTCAGAGCTCTAGTAATTGCCATGTTTACAAACACACACACACACACACACACACACACACACACACACACACAAAGAGAGGAGTTAGATAGATCTTTAGCAGTCCTCCCTACTTACCCTGGATTTTACTGATTTATTTTTTAAATGCGATTGAAAAGAGGACCTAGCTCTGTGCGCGCACCGCTTCCTGGAAAACTGTAACAATCTCATGCTGCCAAAAAACAACACAATTTCCAGGATCTCAGAAGAAAAAACAAAGCCATTGACAAGTTACAGATTTCCAGGAAGAAGGGGGGATAGAAGGAGCCTAGACAGGAAGGAAGACTCCCCTCCAGGCTCAAGTCTCCAAAACTCCCTTGTAGAAGGGGTCCCAGCTCCACGGGAGAGGAGGGAGGGATTGACAAGGGCGGAGGAGTTTGAGCCCCAAAAATCTGCCATCTTCACCTCACCGTTAAACTGGATATTCTGGGGGAAAACAAAAACAAAAACAAAAACGCTTCCTTCTCCGACTTGCAAGCAGATTTCAAATTAGCACTAGAATCCATCCTGGTGGCCATTGAGAACATTTTTCTTTTGTTGAGAATAAGGAATCTGGGGCAACGGTGATTTCCTTAACTATTCAAATGAGCAGCCTTGAACCCATTTCATCGCCTCTGTGCCCTGAAGCCATGCCTGTGAATGTCCCCTGTCCCTGCTCCAGAGAGTAAGGGACGAGAATGGAGAAGGAAGGCTTCAATAATGGGAGAGTGAGCATTTTTTTGCTTGGGGGGGGAAAAAAATTGTCCTTTCCAAGAGGAAGGCAAGTCTTATGTGCTGTGAAAAGGGTGCCTGGGCAGTTACCTAAACTGCCAAATCTTCAATCAAATAGTATATATTTCTTAGCCTTCCAGAGAGCAGCACCTAATGGTGACAGGTCTTGTTGGACAGGCCTCAGCGAGCACCTCAGGGCTCTGCTCTCTGAGCTCTGCATTCCAAAGTATAAAATGAATGCTTCAGGAAATGCACATACACCCACTTTGCTGCCCTTCTCCTCTGAGGCCAGATTTCTATTTTAAAGAAAAACTTCAAAAGAGGAAAACCACAGATAACAACAATGACAAAATCACTGGGCCTTCAAACATGCACACCAGCCCCTAAAGCATAGAACGTGTCTGGTGACTCATGAAGCACTGTCATTGCTGCTCTGCCTTATCTCTGCTCATGGATTACCGTGGTCATGAGTCCCTGAAGGGGCATCCCTCATTGGCCCAACACACACTCCTAAACGTGTCCAACCAGCTACATTGGGGTTTATCCCATTTTATGTCATTAAAGCCTCTCCCCCCCTCCCAGGTCTGAGTAGCTAAGAATTCTCTATGTTCATTTGCAAGGTTGAGTGAGACCCTAAAACGACCAACCAGTGATGGAGGCAATTTGTTTGGAATCTGATCTCTGGATGTCACAAAAGGGTTGAGGTAATAATAAGGATGATTGCATCATTTGATGATCTGGCTTTCTCCCTAAGGCTGTGATGAGGGTCTATGTTTACAAAAGCATCAGCTGCTAGAAATTATAGTCTTACTTGGAAAGATAAGGCCAAATTCCTGCTGATAACCCCAAGGGGACAGAGCATTGAGATACTCTTTTTAGAAAGCAACAAGAAAAGAGAACCCCCAAATAAATGAATGGTTATGGCTGCAGATAATACACATTAGTAAGAATATAAAAACTGTGCTTTTACTGCGAAAAATTATCTCAATGGTTTCATAAGAAATTAGTAGAGTCTGGGGACCAAATTCTCATTTAGGGTTACAGTTTGCAGAATCACAATGCCCTGGTCAAGAGAATCTCCAGCCTCCGGGGATGAAGAGATCCATTTTGCAACTGACTAGTTCTTGGCCGGGAAAGATGCTTTGCCATCAAGAAATGCCCAAAGAGAATGGAATATGACCATATTGGGAGGTTAATATTCCCAATGACCATCCAGGAAACACTGCGTATTTAAACACAGAAAGGGAGATTGTTGGCTGTTGCCCAACAGGAATGAATCCTTCTGGTGTCAAAACTCTTTAAAAAGATTTTAAGGATGAAATGCTAAGTGAGAAAGGAAGTGTCTATAATCTATGTTCTGTAACAAAAAACAATTTTTCTTTATTCATCTGTTTAAATCATCCTCCTTGGAAAAGACTGAGGTAATTTTAATTTTATGATTTTTTTTTAATCCTGCCTTCAAAGTCTAAGGAATTTGATGCTTATAGTTGAAAGGTAAAGCGCCTCTGAGAAAAAGAGAACATTTTAAATTCTTATATCTTAACCTTTGTAAAATGAAAGATTAGTGAACCTGAATCTACCATCGGGCACAAAATGGTGTCACTGTATGCCCTCCTGGGCTACAGAGGGGACACAGGATGGTGCAAATAGCTACTTGCTATTTGCAAATTAAATAGCTATTTGCTATTTCCTATTGAAGAGCTTTGAGTTTAGAGGCAATGGGAGCCTGAAAAATGGACAAGCTGACATATTTCTGGTTCATGACCTCTGTCCCACTTCCTTCTTCTGGACACCTCCCAGCCAAATCCCCTCCTCCTCGGCCCCCACCCACACTCCCTCTGGAGTTAACAGTCCATGGAAAAAATTCCTTCCTTCCCTACCTCTCTCCCTTGTCTTGCTCTAAATGATGTACGTAAAAGTTGTTAGACATTCCTAAGTGCCCTCACACTGGTCCCCATTCCTGAAAGAGACAGATCAAGACATTATCAAGGGGTCACCATCTAGGTATGCTGGGTTGTTTTCTTTTTGCCATGAAAATAGCCATACTCTCCTGCATTACTGAGTGGCAGCAGAAGAAGACGACTGCGTAGACTCACTCTCCTATGCCACAGTCATGTCCAGGGGACCCCATGTCCACAGTTCATATGGTGGCACATAAGCTGTGTCATAGATGTAGCCTGTGTAGACCCAGCAGAAACCCTATCTTTTATTTGACAACGATGACTACGCACTCATTTTTCCCACTCATGTTCCTTGGCTTCACATATCAGGGGTAACCTATGTTACGCTTAACAGCTTTGTGAGGCAGACCCAGGTAAAGACACACTTGGAGGTAAATTACCCAGGATTATTGCCTCCATCCTCTGTACTGACAAACAGAAACAGCATACTGGTTGGTGATTCTGCTGGCTAAATGATACATGTTCTCGTATCATATATGCCATTTTTATTGTGCATTATGAGCAACGAAAGATCTTGAGAATGCAAAGAGAAAAATGTGGTGCAGAGAATAAAGTTTGGTTTATGGATCCAAGGATAGACTTTCCTTAAGCAAACATTACGTACAATATACAGAAATGTTGACTAAATTCCATCTTTCCAAAATCAATGACTCCTTTATAAATATTCATTTATGAAAGAACTCAGTTGAAATTCACCAAGTTAAACAAACAAACAAAAAATATTTATAATGCTAGAAGGAGACAACCTCCAAGATTTCTTACATGGACAATTTTGAATAGTGTCTCACCAAAGGGTGACGTGCCCCCATTTTTTTTTTTTTCCTAAACAAAATGTAACCCTATATCCCAGGAGGGAGGAAAAGGGAATGTACCATTATTTGTTCGTGTTGGTTCAATCAGTAATTACTGGGATGAGAAAGAAAAACGAACACGTTATCTCAGTTTCCTGAAAGCGAACAAAGGTAAACTTGTGAACAGAATGTAGAATATTATGTAAACTTCCTTGTAAATTCTGTACATAGTTCATTGACTTGTTCCCTGTTGCGTGGTGGTCTTTGGCTTTGGGTGGGTGTTTGAACAATCTGAGCATTGTAAATAATGTCAGCTTCTAAGGCACTTGCTTTTATTCACGAAGTGAAGCAACTAGTGATTTGGGCCCAAACCAGAATCTCTTTCGCTCTTGCTGTTTCTCTGCCATTTTGTGTGTGTGGTTGTGTGACTCCGCCAGGCATCTCTGCCCCCTGCCTCATGCCCCCACCCCGCAGAAAGGAACAGTAGCCACAAAGACGGCTGCACTCTGGTGGGGTATGGGAATGGCGCGCCAGCAGAGACAGGAACTGTAGCGAACTGCTTCTGGAACCGTGTCGTGAAAAGTAGACGTGTTTGTATCAGTCATTCGTGGCTATTCATATATCGAAATACCAAATTTTCCACGCTGTTGAGGGATCAGGAATGGAAGAGATGTTCAAAATCCACAGGTAATCCAAAGCTTCCTTTGCACCGATAGCTCCAGCTTCTAACTTTTTTTCCTTCCACAATATTTCCCAGAACTTTTAATGAGAATAGGAGTGAGTGGATGGGTTTGATCAGGGCAAACACACAGTCAAATGTCCAAATGATGGGAAGGAGAAAAGGAAGAGACAGCAAATGACACTGAAACACCAACTGGCTGATGCATCCCTCAAAAATGCAGAGGTAACTATGTTACTGTTTCTAAAAGGTAAAGAGAGAGATCGGCAATTAAAGCAAGTATTTTTCAACCTGGGGCCCAGGGTTGTGTTTGATATGTGTTAGTTAAACTTAGAATCTGGTAATTAAATATTTTCACATATATTTCTCCCAAGTCCTGATATTGTTGAAAAGGACGTCAGAAGGCTGGGACATTCAGGCATACACTGTGTTTTCATGCCAGCTGGCAGTCCCAGAGAAGGTGATGGAGTCTGCAGAAATTCAGAATATCTCAGCAAGCCAGGATATAGATTGGTTTCTTAGAA